TTATACTCAAAATACTATTTTATATCTAATTATAAATTTAAATTTAAAAAATGGTTAAAATCAAGTAGATCTATAAACATATGAAAATCTTAAATATGGACGATGTACATAATATGATGTAAAATGCACTATTTCTGATACTTGAAATCTTTTTATTTTTCATGGTCATACATCTGGATGTCAAGATGATCAAGCAACGGTTTTTTCAACATTAAAACTACCTTTTCCGATGGATTTTTGAGGTGCATCCGTAGTTCTACATTATAAGGTTGCATCCTTATATGAACTTTTTCCATTTTTTAAGCTTGAAATTGTATAATTAGAGATGAATCTATATTTTAAGGCTATCACAAAGATTTCCAGTATTGAAACTACATTTCTCGACACTATTTGAAGGTCCGCTTTACTTTGATTGTTATTCATTCTAGATCTACGCCTTCATGAACTTAAATCAAATCTTATTAATTGTCAAATTGTTCATCTGGTGATTACAAGAAAATCTACAAAATTATGGTCACAAAAATCGATTAAGGTTTCCATCTAATTGTATTTTGTCTTTCCTGAAATGGATGGACAGTATTTACTGCATTTTCTCTTTCCTAGAAGAACACATTTTCTTTTTTCCCTCATTTTTCTGGGAGCTTTTTTATCAGGTTGACTATGGAACATTGACATAATTCATTGCCAAATAGATCTACCTTTTGGCTTGTGAGCTAATGATACAAAAATTAGCTCAAGGGTGTGTTTTAGTATATTTCCTTGAAACATTGATGGATAGTATGCATAACTAGAAGCAAAGGGGGTAATCAATGTTTTTGAATTGCAGATACACAGTTCAATATGAGCACAACCTGCTTTTTGCTACATTCAAGGTATGAGAGATCCATCTAAATGCCAATGTTTTCTTCCATCAAAGTTTCGATAAATGTTTTGTTTGTTATTGTACATTCAGATGTAAGTCATGCTGTGACTATTTAACAGGGGGCTGGGCACACTGCAGCAGAATTCACACCTCGCGAATCACTGGTGGCCTTCCAACGATGGATTGACGGTGCTGATAACCTCTAAATGGACTTCACCTTGGAAATGAGAAATATGTAACAGTTTAACCCATTTGAGTTGGTAATTTTTACGGGTAACCTAAATACACATCTCCCGCCATTCTCCCTCTCTCACACGTCCACTTCTGTCTCTCAAGCTCGACTCAAAACATAGCAGAGCATTATCATCGTCTCTCTTCCCTGGTAAGCCTTAACTCCTCTCTCTCTTTATAGCCTTTTCTCCACTCTAATAAAAACCGTTCGCCCTCTCTAGTTTTCACATCCACTTCTCTCTCAAGCTCGTCTCAAAACCTAGCACAGTTTCATCACTATTTATTCTTTTCTGGTAAGCCCTAACTCCTCTTTCTCTAAATCCTTCTCTCTCTTCTTTAGCGTTAACTAATGGTTCGCATGTGCTTCTGCTCAACCCCTTTCTCTCTTCTTTTTTCTTGGAAGATAAGCCCAACAGAGAATCATCATGATTTTTGGGCTTTTTTAGAACAGTTTCTGGGTTCTTTCGTTCGGAGTAGGATGACATGAGAGCGTTCAGTAGTAGGCTTTGATTCTTCTTTGTCCCAGCTGTTTACCTTTGGTATCTTTGTTATACATGGCTTTATTAATCCATGGCATTATTTTTTCTTCCCGCCATTCCTTCCCCTAAAATACCTCTTTGTTTTACACAGTCCCACAGGACGATGGTCATATGATTGATTACATTTCAACAGCCTCTCTCACAATTTCATATGTGCTCAAACTTGGATGTTCCGAAAGAAGACTGTAATGCCCTTTAATAAAATTAAAACATGAAATATGTAGGAGATAACTCTCCCCTTGCACAAAGAGGGGAATATATCTATCACTAAAAGCAATGCTCCAACACCAGTAGAAGTCTTCACCATTATTGGGTTTTTTGATAACTCATCACCATTTTTGGATTGTTTTGGGAAAATCGGCCTAGTAGAGCATCACCTTCTTTTTTGATCTCACAATTTTTGCAGCTCCGTTAATTATGCATTGGCTGAAATGGATTTTTCCAGCTCATTCAAACATAGGCAAACAATAGCAATGTATTTTTCAGGTTATATTTCGATGCTACCCAAATAGTAACAATCCATTTGGAGCAATGTACTATGCCAGTGATATATTACATCAGTAATATATTTATTAGACAATGTATTTCCAAGTATTCAAATGATCTCTTGGTGCATCTGCCCGTTTTGTACGTTTTGTAAGTGAATGTATTGCCAATTGTGATAAACATCTTTAATAGCACTGATACAGAAGCATTATTTAAGTGAGACCTTTTAAACTCAATATAGTTTTTCTTCTCCTAGCAATAAATGACATTGTTAACTCCGCAATCCTGATTGGGAATCATTTGTTTAGATCAGATTAAGTAGGACCTCACTCTTTTCTCTTAGGGTCCATTTGGTTCTTTCGATTCATATTTTTCAAAGTCACTTTCCTTAGGGGATTCGTGTTTGGTTCGAATTGACAATTATGATAGAATTGAGATTTTTGTGGGAATCCTGAATGCTCATTTTAAGTACAAATTTTGGCAATTTCAATTCCACCAAAATAGGTGGAATCAACATTTAATTAAGACAACCCCTTTTTTATTGGGCCGTTATTGCCCTGCGCTAAGTTAGATTGAATAAATTTTTTGAGGTCTGTAGGCTTCTCCAACCCTAACAATTGAGGACCTTTCTTTTGTAAATAAAAATGAAACCTTTGCGGCGCTGATCACCTTTTCCATCTACTGTTGAAGCATTAAAACATATAAAATTTTAGAAAGGCAAACTGTATCAAATTTTAGAGAGAGAAAATATATTAAAATTTAAAAAAGGAAACTATATCAAATTTTAGAGAGAAAACATATTAGAATTTTAGATAGGGAAACTATATAAAATTTTAGAAAGAGAAAGTACATGAAATTTTTAGAAAGAGAGAATACATCAAACTTTTTAGAGAGAGAAGCTATGTTCAATTTTAGATAGAGGAACTACATTAAATTTTAGAGAGAGGAACTAATTAAATGTTTTTAAAGAGAAATAAACTTTTAGAGAGATAAATTATCTCAAATTTTAAGTTTTAGAGAGAGAGTATATTAAAATTCTAGAGAGAAATTATATCAAATTTTAAATAAAAAAATTACTTGAATATATTTACATAGGGAAACTATCTCAAATTTTAAGTTTTAGAGGGAAAAAGTATCTTAAAACTGTAGAGAGAAACTATTTCAAAATTTTGAGATAGAGAAACTATCTCATATTTTAAGTTTTAGAGAGAGAAAGTATATTAAAATTTTAGAGAAAAAAACTACTTGAAAATTTTAAAGAGATAAACTATCTCAAAATTTAAGCTTTAGAGAGAGCAACGATATCAAATTTTAGAGTGAGAAAAGTACATAAAATTTCTTAGAGAGAGAAACCGTGGCAAAAGTTTTCAAAATAAACTATCTCAAATTTTAAATTTTAGATAGAGAAAGTACCTTAAAATTTTAGATAGAGAAACGATATCATATTTCAGAGAGAGAAATTATCTGAAATTTGTTTGAGAGAAACTACCTCAAAACTTTTATCGAGAGAAGCTATCTCAAACTTTAAGTTTTCGAAAAGGAGTGTACTGAAAAACTAAAACAGCTATTGGACCATGAAAAGAGAATATGGAGGCAAAAGTCTAGGAAAAAAAGGTTGAAGGACGGGGATTTGAATACAAGGTTCTTCCATCTGTCTACTGTAATTAGGAGGAGTGATTGTATTATCTCCCTAAAAGATCAAAATGGAATTTCCTTGGCCTCTGAAGTAGATATTGATAATCACATGATAGGTTCTTTCAAAAATCTTCTAGCCCAAGAAAATGATGTTGATACTCATATGGCTAAACAACTTTTGCTACCGTCTCTACTTAGCACTCATCAACAAGAAAAGTTAGTTGAGGATGTTTCTATGGATGAGATAAAGGATTGTATCTGGGGAATGAAATATGATTGTGCTCCAGGCCCTAATGGTTTTTCGGTAGAATTCTATAAATTCAGATGGGAGGTGCTCAAGGAGGATATTTTTTGGCTCTTAATGATGTCTTTAAGAAAAGTAAATTTTTTAAACAAATCAATTCCACATTTATTTGTCTGATTCCTAAGGTTGCCATTCTTACTATTATGAAAGATTTTCACCCTATTGGTTTATACGATATGCTGTATAAAATAATTAGTAGAATCATTTCTAATCGCCTATGGGTAGTGCTAAATGATCTGATTGACCGTAGACAAGCTGCTTCCTGAAAGGTAGACTTATTGCATATAACATCCTCATGGCAAATAAACTCATATTTATCTGCAATAAGTATTCTAATAGGACAAAAATATGCTTGCAATTAGATTTGAGCAGTGCTTATGATAAAGTATCTTGGGCCTTTGTTATTGCTCATATGAATGCTTTGGAATTTTCAAATACTCTTATATTTTGTGTTCGTTTATGCATATCCACTCATTCCTTCTTTGTGTTGCATAATTCTCCTAATGGGTATTTTCAGGGGAAAAGAGGTATGAGACAAGGGGTTCTCTTATCTCTTTATATTTTTCTACTAGTGATGTATTTCTTGAGTAGACAATTGGACTATACTATCAAGCAAGGTATAATTATTAGGGTGTTTCATTCGGGTTGTGATTATTGAATATCACATCTTTTTTATGAGGATGATGTGGTGATTTTTTTGTAATGCTTCAATTAATACTGTTGTTGTTATGAAGTCAGTTCTCTCTATTTTTGAAGCAACTATAGGACAATAACTTAATAGTGCAAAAAGCAAAGCCTTCTTTTTTGGGGACTCACAGGGCAAGAAATATTTGATTATGAAGGAACTTGGCTTTGATGAAGGGTCCTTTTCAGTTCATTACTTATGGCTACCCTTGTTTCATGTGCAAGGCGTCTCCAGTTATTGAAATTAATTCTATGTGTTTCTTCTATATTCTAGATTCTATCATCTATTTTACCAAAGAGAACCTGTAATATGATTGAACGGTCGCAAAGAAACTTCCTTTGACAGGCATGGTTGGAAAGAAGGGGGTTCATCTAGCTAAATGGAACACAATATGTCTACCCCAAGCCGAAGGGGGTCTTGGGATACGTAATATAGTCGATTTCAATATTGTAGGGATGATGAAATTGGCATGGAGAATATTGATAGATCATTCATCCTTATTTGCTCAATTTTTTAAGCATATGTTACTTCATGAATTCTTCCTTAAGGAAGACTAAATACAAAAGATACTCATCTCATGCTTGGAAGGGTATTCGGCTCGAGTTATCTCGTTTGAAGACTAATGTAAGATAGGTTATTGGTGATGGTCGATTGTGGACTTCTGGGCAGACCAGTGGTTATCAGAAAAGTCAATGGAGAGCCGATTGCAAGCTTTGAAGTCACACAGTCGAAGCTGTGGTGCGCCTCAATTTGCATGCCTTGAAGTCACACAGTTGGAACTGTGACACACCTCAATTTGGAAGAGTACCTTGTAGTGTTGAGTTTGGAGTGATGGTGCTCTTCAACATAGGAGCTATACGTGGCAAGGTATCATGCGGTAACCCCATGTGTATATTAAGGAATGGTGAGCAGTTTATCGTCATGCAAATGGACTGTATGTCGCATAGTTTAATGTCATTATACAAGGACGTAAGATTATAACACTTTTACCCATGATGACCTGTAGGATAGGATCAACATGTCCGTCATTTGAGAGTGAGTGCCCGCCCCAAAGGGTTTTTGCCACGCTTTTTTTATTTTGACACTTTTGCCCGTAGTGCCCTTGTGGATTTTCACTATGACCGTTCTTTTTTTTCTTTTTATTTTCTTTTTGGCATATTTTTCTCATGTACGCTTTTGTCGTGCACACTATGTCCGTTAATTGAGAATGAGTGCCCCTAAGGGATTTCAGCGAACTCCATTTATTTTGACACTTTTGCCCATAACACCCTTGCAGGTTTTCACTGTAGTCGTCTTTTCTTTTTCTTTTTTTTTGACAAATTTTGCCCATGATCGCGATTAGGGTGCACACCATGTCCGTCAGTTGAGAGTGAGTTCTCCTAAGGGTTTTCACCGAACTCCTTTTATTTTTATACTTTTGCCCATATCACCCTTACGGGTTTTCACCATGGTTGTCCTTTATTTTTCCTTTTTTGTTTAACCCATGACGCCCTTGCGGGTTTTTGCCATGTCTAGTTCTTTGTTTTTTTTGGGGGAGGCTTGTTTAAGGTCATGCCACTGGGACTAGAGCTATAGTTTAGAGTTGTATAGCTTGGACCAGTGCTATGCTGTTTAAGGTCTTGTGTCTTGGACCATTGGGCTCATCACTCATATTGCATAGAATCAGACCCCAAGTTCAATTGCTCATCGTTTATGAACCCTTGGATGATGTCTTTAGTAGCACAACATTCTTTGATCATATGACCAAGCATTCTATGGTATTGACAATAATTGAGCTCATCGTCTCTTCCGACTTCCTGCAGCCTTTTTTGGCTAGGGTAGCTCGATAATTCCCTTGGAGAAGAGAGCTTCAAGTGACCTAGGGACCATGCCTTCGTCAAAGGAAGAACTCTTGTGCCAGTTTTGGCACGAAGAGTGCATGGTAACATGCATGGTGAAGGGCTTAGACATTTTGCCATGGTGCTTAAGAAATCCTCCATTCGCACTGCTCTGTCAATCATTTTAGCAAACGTGAAGGGGGATCTTGTGTTGACATGCATTGACAATTATTGGTGCATTCTTTCTACGCAATTTCCCACTTCTTGAAGCTCGCCCACTGAAGTGGTCAAATTGATGGCCAGATCGTGCCAGCTTTTGATGTACTCGATCACTGGCTCATGTGGCTCTTGCTTTACATCACGAAGTTCATAAAGCTGCATTTCCTTTTTATGTCATAGAAGCATTTGAGAAATTCTTCCTGCATTTGTTCCCATGATGAAATTGAATTGGGTGCTAGCTGAGAGTACCATTTGAAGGCGGCTTCAGTGAGGGTTCCCACAAATTGCTGGACTAGTAGATGTTCATTGTTTGCTGCATCACCACAAGAAGAAACAAAGTGGGCTATATGCTGTTGTGACGAGCCGATGCCATCAATTTGTGGAAATCGGCCTTTGATAGCTCGTAGGTAATGGAGTTTTGTCAACATAGGCCGGGTATGGTTTTTGGTAGTGATTTAGTGCTTGTGCC